GAGTATTTTATCATATATATATATATATATATAATAAATTAAATTTTTATTATTTTTGATAAGTTTGATTTGGAAAATAATATGTATGTATGTATGTATATGTAATAAATGAGTGATTATCTGTTGCATATGTATATATACATATTTGAAATTCAAATCAAATCATGTAAAAAAGAGTAATCATATTATTTTATATTTTCATACAATAATAAAATTAAATATTGTTATGTTTTGATAGATCTAGTTTGGAAAATAAAATAAAATATACTTAGATTTATCTATTTGAAATTTAAATTATTATTTAAATATGGGACAATTTATAATATCTATTTTTATTTCCACAGGTTTAAAAATAAAAAGGCTTTATGTTTAAATTTTGAATTTTAAGTTATATTAGTTTAAATTTTAATATTTGGTGATTAGATTAGATTTGAAATTTAAAATCAAATTTCCCTCCAATATAGATGTTGTATCAATTATAAATAAATGTGCTTAGCTATGATTTCATTTCATGTCTCTACTTTGATTAATTCCAATATCATTCATGAGTCCATTGTGTAAATAGTATATGAAAACTTTCTTTGCATGGCCCTCGTATAATTTTATCACTAATGTTTATCTTGTCTTTCATTTGTTCGCAGCAAATCTATCATAACATTTCATTCCTTTATAACATTGCATATGGGTTTTACATTAATAATGCTATCAACGCATTGAGTCAAGAGCAACAAATCACATTTTGAGGATAATTCATCTCTAAAAAATGTTTGGTCAAAACTTATCAAATAAATCAAATGGTATTGTGTTGTTATTTTAAAATATCAAGTAAATCTATGACTATGGTATTACATAAAGCAATGCTTTTATTTTTTTGGATAATGTCAATTTCATTTGGATAAATTATATTTACTAATTTGTGCTTATGCTCTCCTTTTACAAGGTGATTGAATTTTGACGGTGGTATGAAAGTCTTTGATGAGATGTTATAGCAATAGCTTGCAACCAATAAAGATATAAAAAGTTTCAAAGTTTAGTTTCAGAGGTGATAAATTTATTGCTCTGACTTTTAATTAATCACTCTAATTTTAATTGATTATTTTGTTTGTATTTTTATTTGGAATTTTTTATTGAAAGTTCAAATTCAAAATTTTCTTTGAGCACCAACAAAAGCATCATCACACACACACACACACACACACACACACACACACACACACACACACACACACACACACACACACACACACACACAGAGAGAGAGAGAGAGAGAGAGAGAGAGAGAGAGAGAGAGAGAGAGTATGTATATAAACTAATAATAATATTTGCGTCTTCTAAATATGATAATATATTATTTTTATTTACCTTGAACTAAATTTAAATTTTTAAAATTCAAATTTACTTGTTTAAAAATATTTTTATGAGTTCATAGTCAAATACCAATTCATTTAATGTTGTTAAGTTATTTTGTATATCTATAAAATTTCGAGCTTTGAATATAATAAATATTTAAATATAATTCTTGGCTTTATTTCAATCCCATCACTACATTTCCAGAATATAATCTAAAGAAAAAAATTTCAATACCAACTCCCTTCATGGGTTTGCACAATCCTATCTACATGAATTAGGGGTGTTCATAGGTTCGGTTTAGTTTGGTTTTGGGCAAAAACCGAACCGAACCGAACCATTCGATTTACTGATAATTGAGACCTGATCGGTTTTTATAAAGTTCGGTTTGGTTCGGTTTTATTTTCGGTTTGGTTCGGTTTGGTTAAGGTCTTGATCAAGTTTTAATGCACTTGTTTAATTTTTTTTCCTTTTCTCCATCTTCATAATGGTGCTATGTACTAAAATTAAATTTAATTCTTTTTGACTCCTTTTTTTCATAAATAGAGGTATAAAAATATAATAAAATTTTAATGTGATAACAATAATTAATCATAAAAATTGATATAAGTTTTTAAGATTAAAAGTATTTAATATTATATATTTTCATTAAAATCCTTTGAAAATATTTATCTATATATCTATATTTTAATAAATAATAAAAAACTTATTATACAAAATTCAAAACAAAATGTTTCTTGTAGATAAATTGAATGCCGAGGCTTTTAGGTTGTAAATAATTAAATGATGATCATAGCATGATTATTATAATTACTTAATATTATGGATTTTCATTCACGTATTTTAAAAATGTTTATTTATTACTATAAAAAATTTAAAACAAAATGCTTCTTGTAGATAAATGGTTATATATTTTATAAATAAATAATAGAATTTTTTTAATTAAGTTTGGTTCGGTTTGGTTCGGTTTCTAATACTCAAAACCGAACTTGAACCGAACCAATCGATTTTTATATCATAAAAACCGAAGCAGACCTAATTGTTGTTCGGTTTTGATTAATTTTTATCGGTTTGAATTGGTTTGGATCGGTCCTTTTAGTTTGGATCGATTTTAAACACCCTTAACATGAATTTTAAGTTAACAATCAATCCATTGTAGCAAAAAGGGCAAAAGTGAGGTAACCCAATCTCAATCCTGCTTCCAATCTTACAATATCACATACACCAAAATGCTACGCCAGGATGGGATGGGACCCTCAAGTACAGTGGTCCCCACCCGCCCTCCTATGGGCCACCCTGCTCGTGTGATTCACGATACCCGCCAGATTGGACAGCAGGAAAATGTTGCGTTCCCGGCATGGACAGGGAATGTACATGTAATGTAACCTTGTATAACTTGCCCAGAGAATCGCCTGTCTGACCAAAATACCCTCCGCCGTAGGCATTTTTCGGCGGATGTGTGCCAATGATTTAACGTGAAAGAAAGCTCTTGTAGATTATTCCATCTGATAGATATTTCTGTCGATGTCCCATTTCTAATATGAATATCTTTTCAACACTTAAGAAATTTATCGGCGAAATATTTGAATTTGACGTGCGTAAAAATAACATGTTCTAATTATTATAAAAATTAAAATTTTCTCAGTAGACATCCAACGAATAAGCTTTTCAGTTATTCAGAAATTTAGACTTTCACTTCAAAATAGCATTTTATTTCATGGTTAAAATATTATAACATCCCTTCTATTTTATTAAAATTACACGGACCTTCCTCTTGTATTCAAAACAAACATTTTAATTTAATTTTTAATATATATTCTAAAATATTTATTTCTTAATTGTAATTATGCTAAAAAATTTACAATTACCAATTTGCTCTTATTATCAAATTGGTATTCTTTCTCTCCAAATTTAATGAATTATAAACAATTAATTATTACAATATTTAAATAAATCATTTAGAAATGTTGTTTGGAATTTATAAAATTGCAAGATAAATAAACCTAAGTTATATTAACTAATTCATATCTTATTATATTAAATACTTATTTCATTAATTTTCTTTGTATACATGTATTTGAAATATTAGTTTTGTCAACTTATCTGTTTATTTTGTTAAAAGTTATTAAATAAATATTTTTCATAACTAAAAATAAAATATGAAAAAGTAAAAAAATATAACCATTAATTTTTTGGAATTTTAAATGATTTTTATATAACATTTGTGTTTAAAGAGTGGAATTTTTGTCTAATAAATAAAATCCTTAAAGCATAAGGGATGTTTGTGTTTTGTGATTATTGATTCTATTGAAGGTTTGTATATTTATGTTTTTAAAATAAATGGGAGGTCAATATATTTTATTCTTATTTAATTTTTAATAATACAGTTGTGTGTTTTAATAAAACAAAAACTCTATAAACCTTTACCCAAAAAATTTAGAAACATCTTTTTTCATGAAAGTCACTGTTTCTGGAAAAAATGAAATTTACTGTTAATTTAGTATTAATATGACTTCATTTATATTTCAAGTTTAAGAAAATTATATTTTCAAAAACTAAAGCGAATGAATTGTATGTTTACCTACAAAGCATTCAGACCACTAATAGTGAGATTAGAATCCATACCTCTGTAAAAATATGAGTAGCAGCATCCTTATCAACAAGACTAATTTTTATTTTTCATTGCAAGTTTTTATGTTATGGTCAAAATATCAATATCAAAATAAAATCTATATCAAAACATGCTATTAACAATTTACGAATAAGCTCAGTGATTAAATACTAAAAGTACATTCATTGATATCTTTAATAATTTTCCTTAAAACAATCTGTGAAAGAATCAGAATAATATTAGTAAATTAAAAATGATCAATTTTTATTAAAATTTGGTATAAATAAACATATTTTTTGATACATTGCACCATATTTAAAATGATCCACGTGCACATTATTTAATTATCACTAATGAAGAGTATCACTTGCAATAAATTTGTATTATATATCAAATGCAGATCAAATGTGGAAATTTATATTGGATATTGATGTTCACCTCAATATAAATATACCGTTGAGTAGTTTAACGCTTCCATGTTTGTTACTTAAAAGGAGATGGGGTTCTGAAATGCCACATCACCACTTTTCTCTTTCCTTTAAATGCTTTGCTCGGTTGTATTGTATATAGACTGTATCCTCTTAGCTGTCTTTATGTGATTAACTCCTCCCTCTGTTTTCCCATTCCACGTTAACACTTTGAACATAAAATGATTCAAATTTCATATTCCTCCCCATCCATTACTCGAAAAGATTCACATAAGAGACACGTATTCGAATTATACCAGTCTCTGCTATATATTTTTTTTTATCTTCAAAATCAACAAGAATAGAAAAAAAATCATAATCTTATTAAGAGTGAATTTATCATACTCTTATTAAGAGTGAATTTAGGGGATTAAATTTTTGTTTCATTTAAAATTATTTTAGCTTTTGGACAGCGAGAGTGACGTGGCGTAGCAACAACCATCTTTGGAACCACCTTCTTCGGGCCCCCATTGAGTGCGTAAATAGACGACAAACCTAGGGGCAATATCGTCCTTGTATAACCAAACAGAAACATATAATGAAGCAAGCCCTTGAATGTCGAGTCCCTGAACCGAACCAGACTTCCCCTCTCTTCATTTCTCTCCGAGCAAAGAGACCGAGACCGAGAGAGAGAGAGAGAGAGAGAGCAGAGACGAAGATCTAACCAAACTTGACGAGGTTCCCTATTCTCGATCCATTTCTTCTTCATCTTTTTCCTCAGTGAATAATATCTACATCTACATCTAATATCTTTATCTCCATGAGGATCCGCAAGAACGCCAGCCTTGGTGGTTCAGTGCCGGCCGAGAAGCTTCAGCCTCTCGTGTGCCAGCTGAACCAGTCGCCGTGGGATGTGATCTCCTTCGGCACCGATCTAATTCAGGTTCATCTCTAACTCAATCTCTTGTTTCTTTCAGATCTACCGAGAAGTTTCGTTATCGCCCTCCATCTCCCGGCATTTCATTATTAGGGTTTTTATCCCCTATATTAGGGTTCCTGGTAGCCCCCAAATTCTTCTCGTTTCATCCTGCGTATTGTTTCCAACTCCCAATTAGGTCAATAAGCGTGCCTTACCTCTCACTATTTCTCTTGGGCTTCGTTTTCCGCTGTTTCTGCAGTTCGGATATGGAGAAGAAGATAGCCTCGCGGGAAATGCGAATGGCAGTGCCGGCTATTCCGGTGGAGCTGTTGAGAGGTGAGTAACCCATTCATTGATTCCTCGTTATATCTTCTCCAGCATTATTAGGGTTTGTATCCTTGCTTCGACATTATGAAAGTAATGCGATACAATTCTCCTAAATTTCATCCCTAAACTTGGACTATGGCCTCGAATTGCTTGCATAAAACGCAGCGTCACGTCGCAGATGGACGCGGAACTGAAGTCGCCGCCAAATATACAGAACGTGGTCATCCACGATAATGGCGACATCAGCGAGCAGGCTGGAATTGAGCAGCTGGATCACAAAGCCGTTAAGGAGAACAAGACGACGTCGTGCGTCCAATGCAAGAACAATGAAGATAAGAAGCGTGGGCAACCCTACGAGCACAATAATTCATCTTCGATGAGATCGAAGAGGTCCGTCGCACTCACTGGAGCTCGCCGCACAAGAGCTCAGACCTCGAAGAAGGCTCCGTCGGGGGCTTCGAACCCCTACGAATACTACTATTATTCTGGGTTTGGTCCGCTGTGGAGAACTCGTAGAGGGGACAGAAATGGAGGATTGAATAATAAGAACGAGGTTAAAGCGAAAGGAGGTGAAAGTTCGACGATAACTGAAGCAAATGGCGGTACAATTCGGAGCAGCATTCATTGCTCTTCTTCGCGGATTGATACCGAGGGATTTGATTACGCAGACGACGATGAAGACGAAGTTGAAGAAGACTATGATGAAGTGGAAGAAGAAAATGGGGAGAGCGGGAAGAAGCGAATGAGGAAGCCGGTGAAGGCAAGATCGTTGAAATCGCTGATGTAAGACAGTGAGATCGATCATGTTGTGAATGTATGTATTTCGTAGGGGTTCCCTCCACCTCTGGGCTATTTAGGGTTATCAATGAGAGAGAATCTTTTTTTTTTTTTCCTTCAATTTTTCGGGGTGATATTTGTCTGTGGGTAGGTGAGATTAGCGTTTCCCTGAAACATGACAGAAGGAGGAGGAGGAGGAGTAGGGTGGTTCTATAGCGTGTTACTGATGTCGACTAGAACATCAAAAATGTTTGGATGGAATGAAAAGGGCAAATTCGTAAATTAAGGCTGCCTCGTTCGTTTTACCTTTATCTTAATTATTGTGCACACTGTAATGAAGCTAAGTTGCTCGTGTCTGTCTGAAAGCTCTATCCGCAGACAGAGGAAGTAGTAACATTGAAAGATTTGACTTCTCTTCATTTTTTTCTCTCTTTTTTTTTTATTTTTTATTTTAATTATTAAATTTATTTTTTAATAATTAAAATTTAATATTTTATAAAATTATTATTATAATAAAAAATAAATATAATAATAATTTTATAAAATATCAATTTCAATTATTAAAAAATAAATTCAATAATTTAAATGAAAAGTGAAGAAAAAAAAAAATTGAAGAGAAGTCGGGTCTAATATGGAAGCGCCAGTGTACATAATGTGGGCCACCTTGTCAAGAGCATATCTTGAAAGTTTCTTAATCTTTCATGAGCGGCAACAGCAATTTTGTGCCCGAAAAATTTGGTAATAAAAAATTTATTTAAGCTAATTTTGCTTATACTCCATCCATTTAAATTTATCAGATATTTTAATTAACTTTCACTTTCTAAAAAAAATTTAATATTATTGAAAAAAATAAAAACTACATATCCTTTTTATCTCTCTTCACTATTCCAGGACACTTTTTAAAAAAAATGCTAAAATACTTTATACTTTTAAACTTGATATTTATAAAAAAAATGTCAATAATATGTATATTTATCATGAAACAATTTAAATCTATTACTGCTCACTATTTTGCTAGCAGCCCATTTGACTCATCATTACTATATGTATACATATATGTAATGCATGTGCATGGATATGTCAATCAATGCATAGTTGTCAAAATTTTAAATTGATGTTTTGAGTTTAAAATTTTTATATTTTTAATTTATAAAATTATATAACTCATTTTTAAATTTAAACTAGATACAAGCTTGATTAAATTTATGAGTTTATCTTTAAATTTATTATTTTTATATTTTTAACTTTAAAAATTATATCAACTAATTCATAAACTTAAATTAGATAGAAACTTGTGAAGCTCTTTGATTTTTTTTTTAGTTGAGCAAGTTAAAGTATATATTATAAAAAATTCAGTTTATAAAAATTATAGAACCTAATTCAAAGAAAAAAAACTTAAAAAGAAAAAGTTAATATTAATAAAAAATAAAATAAAAGGTACCAAAAATAAGTTTTCCTATTTTAAAATTTCTACAGTTTGCATGATAATTTATTAATATAGATGTGTTTAATTTAAATAATTTATATTTTAAATATATTTAAATTAAATTATAATCATATTTTATATTTCAATTATTCAGTAATAAATTTTTAATGATTATTTATTGATAGAGGTAAACTCTCACAAGTTTATGATTTGACCTTGTAATTTAAGTTTATATTTTTATCATAAGTTTACTTAAATTCGTGAATTTAACAACCTTGGTCACATGTGTCATGTAGGTGAATACATTTTAAAAAAAAATTACATCTAGGTTTCAATAAAGAAATTTATTACCAAGAGGTCTCATGACATTTATAAAAAAATTTTAAATTTTAAATCATGTGCATTTACAACTTAATTGAGGGCATTGACAATTATGAGCAATAGCCATTTATAACTTATAATAGTGTGTTGTAAGTGATCATCATGTTCAGCTTTTACAAATAAAAATTTCTTTTTTTTGATATGATGGCGTGCTGTATATACTTTTTTTTTTTTGGGGTATTGGACTAGGACAACCAATATATCCTGTTTTATATAATTTTAAGGCACTTTTTGCCACAAAAATGCTGATTGAAGCGGAGGACCGTACGTAGTTTAATTTCAAATATATTCTAACCATTTTTAATTCTCTAACATGATGATCTTTTCATAATCATGTATGCCATGTATATTAAAGAGCGAGATTAGAGATTAGAGAACAATATTGTTATCAATTAGAATGTGAATGTACCTTCACGACATGCGAAATGCTTACGAAGTAAAGGGGAGGAAGAAAATAATAAGTGAGTAATTATATATTCTCTCATTAAAAATTATGAAGTATTTTTAATCGAATCTCACCTCTTAATAAAGTAGTTACCTACTTTTAAACTATAATCCTATCTTTTTATATTTACCCCTATTAAATGCCCAACAATAAATATAAAATTATTTATCAATAAAGGCACTTTTGTAAAAAAGATAACGATTAAACCTTAAAACACTAAAAATGTTTTAAATTTTTAAATATTCAATTTCTCAAAAAATACTTTATTTTTTTAAATGGAGGAAGTATATTCCACAAAAAATATTTTTACTCAATGCGTCACTTTTTACTTTATAAAACTCAGTAAATTTTTCATTTTAGAAAATCCAAATTTGAGTGTCTAAAATATTTTTAGCTGAATTTTCACTCACATCTTCTTTTATTTCTATCTTTTGTCAATTTATTTACACCTACTAAATTTCACTTGAGAGGAATTTGATCACTTATTTATTTGAGTCAATTAAAATCCCGGTTGATAAGTTATTTCTTTTTGTTCCCTTTCTTCTAAATCCACAGATCAAGTATCTGGCCAAACAAAATTCACGGATCAAGTAACCCTGAATTTAGAATATGTTCACTCAATCAGAACTTGGCTTGGAAAGTTGCTAGCTTATTCAATCATGACTAAAAAGAACGCTGCTTGACGTGAATGCCTTAATAAAATGATCTCAACTAATTTATTGAGTTGCCAAAATTACTTCTTCTTCTTTTTATGTTCAATAGGGGAGCAAGTTCTGCCCGATTCATTCACTAGTGTAATTTTTTTAAAAAAATATTAATGAAAAAAATCCATTCCGAATTCAATAATTTTGTAAACAATAAAATAAGTTTTTCCAGGAGATAATAAAACAAGTTAAAACCTATTTCACACTCAGTAAGTATTATAAAGTATTCATATACAATTTTAAGATAAATAGATGATTGTAGATATTTTTCTATATATATAGCATGAACTCTAAAGATGAACCATACCATTTTTTTAGTTTGTAAAAATATATTTTCAGTTTATATTAATTTCATTTCCGTTTTAAATATAAGACATTTAAAAAATTATAATATTTAAGTATATAAAAATTATTTTACTAAATATAATTCTAAAGGCAATTAATATCTTGCTATACCCAACATTTTAATAGGAGTGCATGCATACCAAAATTATTTTCCTCCCACTTGAAAGACTATAAGACTTAAAAAAAAAAACTTAGATTTAGAATGAAGTTAATAATAATAAATATCAATATAAAATAGCTTAGGTTAGAAGAAAAATGAAAAAGTATAACGTTAAATTATATTATATATTGTGAGCATGTGCTTTGTGTTTTTCTTTTAATTTTTTGGTCGATAGGTACTTTGAGTCAAGTCTATAATAAATATTATGTTATTTATATCTTATAAATAAAGCAATTTTTTTATAAATTGAATATTATATTATATATATGATGAATTGAATATGATTATGTGGTGCCAACAAAAATCTTTTAAAAGTTTATAAGTATATAAAATAAATATCAGTATAAAATATAAGCTGAGTTTTATTTCTTTAACGAGAATTATATATATATATATTGATGAAAGATTACATACTATAAGGGATTGAGTTTGAGCATCCCATTTCTTGCAAGATCCTATAAAAATAACCTTTGATTAAGTTATGTTAAATGAGGATAATTAAGTAATTTAACATGATGTATGGTCATAGGGTTCTAACGAATGTTTTGAATTGTGGTTTCAGCTCAAAAATTGGGTGTAGAGTAGAGTTAGGGCACCCAGACCTTAAGAAGAGAGAAAAGTAAGGGAAAGCACCTTCGTGCCGCATGCTACGATGCATAAGCCACCAAAAGTAAAGAGGAGCTCTCTGTAGCACATGACGCAACACATGTGGCATGCATTGTGACACATGGTCATGTTTCTATCAAAATAAGGGTGAGAATTAGACTAAAAATAGGAAAGAAACAAGAGAGGAAACGAGGAGCATGTGAAGAGTTCTACGAGGGCTTGCTATTTGGACAATTTGGAGCAATTCAGAGCTTAACAGCACCTAAGGTAAGTCTTTAAAACTTCTTCCTCCCATCCTTTTACATTTTTTTTTGAAGTTTTGAGTTAAGGTTTGAGTTGAAGAGGTGATTTTCGATCAATAAGGCTATGAGTTTGAACTCATTGACTTAAATAGAGTTAATGAGAGTTGTTTAGATTATTTAAACTTAGCAATAATGGCTTTATAAGTATTTGGTTGGTAAAGGTCATTAATGGCCAAAAATAGCCATAAATGATGTTGTTTGGAGGAGTTAAATGCCATTAATGATAGTGTAAAATCATAATGAAGCCATTGTAAGCTAAGGAGAGCTAATGAGCCTGATGGATATGCCTATATGTGAGGAATTAGAGTTTTAGGAGTCTTAGAAGTGTTGAATATGGTATGGAAAATTATCCTAATGAGGATATTAATAATAGTTGATGTGATTGATTATAAATTAATCACAAGTTGGCACCATTCAAACTTTAAAGAAGCTTTAAAAGAAATTGTATTAAGAGATAAACATTTAACGTCTCAAAAGTTTGAGGTTACTAAGGAAAAATTTTGTTTATGCACTTGCTTATGAATTGATTATATGTTAAAATGAAATGTTTGAAGAACTAATTGATGTTTGTAATCTCATTTTGATGCTAGTTGTGATAGTGGCAAAGAATGTGATAGGTCTTGTCAATGAAAATAAATGTGTGTGGATGTTTGGCTATATGATTGTTATTGTTGAATAAGAGTGTGAATATGTATAAATGAGCCTATAAAAAGGGACATTGTGAATTGAGATATGTAACATCCTCCTCCTTCCAACCATAATCAACTCTAAATCTCAAGGAATAAAGAAATTGGATTAAGATAATTAACATAATACTAAATTATCAATGGGTGAAACAGTTGGGATGTCAAGTTTACAAAACTAAAACCATTTCCAAAGTCTTCTTAATAGATAAATCAGAGTTCACATGGGATCATTTCAAACATGAGTGCATTTGCTAAAGAATGTGTAAACAAGATAATTTTTTAAAATTTTATGGTGTGCGTCGTGGCTTATTAAACATACATCATGGGGTGTTCGCCTCTATGTCATGTGTCACGGCTTGTGGTA